GCGGGAGGGAGGAGAGGTGGCAGGGCAGAGTGATGTGTTAAGGAGAAATTAGATGCTTGTCAATCTGAGGGGTCAATAGATTAAGTACACCTCCACCCGTCAAAGTATCTTTGAACTCTACCAAAGAGTACTGACAGATCTCTAAACTTTGGTTCAGTTCACATTTCAAGAATGATGTTTAATACTTTTTTAGTCAAAAGTTTACCTAAATTTACCTGTAACTCTTCAATTGATCATCTGAACATACTCTACCATTGCTAATAATGTTATTCAATCTACTTTACAATTTAGTAACAGCTACGTTTTTGTACTTTTGAAGTAATACTGATGTAAGGTAAACAAGCAAAAATCTCTGAATAAGAACAAATTACAAATACAAGTTCAAAATATTTGAGGTAAAATATTAAAGTTTGCTGTCAAAACACATAACCCTTTAACTCCCACAAGTGACCAAGACATAATTTCTCCTTACAATATCAATACAATATCAAGCAGGCAGGTGATGAGAATAGAGAAGAATATCAATCATGGGATCATTAGTTGATCCAATACCAAATTCCCTGAACTAACATCATGAGAATTGTATGGCAGATAGTAAGGAGAATTACTAATCAGATCTTGGGAGTGAAAGGGTTAACTCCCAGAAGTGATTAACCTCTAACTTCTCCCAACAATATCTACATATAATTTAGCAAACAAGAGAGGTGAATACTCAAACTTATCAGGTGGAGGCCATTAGCTTTATCTAACCCTAAATTCTCATAACAAATTTACAAGGAAATGTGTGGCAGTTTGAGGAGAGGATTTACAATCAGATCTTGGAAATTAAAGGGGTTAGTTCTTTCATGTATTTAAAGGGAGAAGTTACATGTCAATCACTTTTAGGAGTTACAGGGTCAACTGTCTAAAACACAACTTAATTATTTTTACAGATCAAGGCCCAGGTGTTCAAAGGTCTATTAGCACTAACCAAGGGTTTAATCCAGGTTTCTATATTTCTCTGTTCAAAAGCCATTTTAGGATATTTTTTCCAATTCTTTTTTAGAGCATTCATTCATCAAACTGTAGACAAATGGAATTTTACTGAATTTTTTTAAAGCTTTCAGATCTGAAATCAGATTTCACACTAATCCTGGTTTAACTAAACCCAGCTTTGAACAACCCAGCCTAGTAAGACAAAGAAAGTAAAAGAAATCCAACTTTTGTTAAACACATACTATGCTAACCCTTAGTAAGACATCAATTTTAAATCATCCCCATAAGTTTTATGTTTTAAGTCATACTTGTAAAGCAAAAAACACTTAAACTGTTCCCAAATGTTGTTTGTGTTATGACCAATCTAAATGGATATCACAACACAAAGGCAAACAATAAAAAAATAAGCATATATTGACTGAGTAACAAGATTTCTAGCCGTTTGGTCATTCAGTAGCTGGTTGTAATGACACAGTAATATTCTAAAAATATTTTCAGCTTTTCCTGAGAATGACAGACAAAGTTGAGCCAATAACCTGAGAGTAACCTTATCACATTCATTTTATTTCTACAACTAAATATTCTGCAATTTGTACAATAACTAAAGTAGATGATCAAATGTGCAAACTCATCATGATGAAAACCTAGAATTTTTTTTTTAAAATCTCAAATAGGGAAATTTTTTTTGCACATTATTATTATTATTACAAACTAGAATTCTTTAAGTCCAAAGACAAAATTTTAGTCAATGATAGGAGTAATTTGCTTCCTACAAATGTATGTCAAACTACACAGCATTCCAAGATCATAAAAAGAGGCTGGCCAGTCAGTAACATCAAAACTTTCCTGTGAACAGAGCTTAGCTGCACAGATGGAAATTTAACTGTGAACAAGTCCACCTAAACAAAAGAGACTCTTAAACAATGAAATTATGAGCTTGAGATTTCTATGGCATGATAGTTGATGTGGGCCTAGCTTAAATTTTAACATTTTTTTTAAATGTCAAGATGTATGAGTAAGAACTACAAGTAAGCATATAAATAAGCTACTTCCAAATTACCTTCAGTCTATTCTCTTAAATTCAATACTGGAAATAACTCTTTCCCTTTATAATGAGATTTTGTTCACTTGTAAATGAACTTACTATCTCATAAATGGTTCTGCACCTTAATCCATTTTGAAGTTGATTCTACAGATTCACTCAGAAATGATACTACAAGGTTGTGTGGTTGCCACTGTAAAGTGCCAATGAATTTGAAGCTTCAACATCCTTCTTGACTATCCACAAGCATTTTACTGTTGTTTGTGCTCCAGAGGTGGGGAGTTTTTAAAAACTTGCCTGAGTGAGTGGCATATTTGAACCAGCAAAATACACAACTAATATGTACATGTACTCATAACTAATTCATGACTTTGCTACATTCTACAACATTCATTGATCACAAACTGAATCATTCAATAAAAAATTGTGCATGAGTGGTGCATTGGAATAACAGAATGCAATTTTTGCCTTGGGGTAGGTGG